TCTTCTAGTCACTTTTTTCTGGAAACTGCTGATGAAATCATTGACGCATGCTCCTGGTTTCAGCTCCATTGTTTCCAGTTGGCTGGGATCCATTACTGATGGATACTCTTTTCTTATTGCATCCAACACACTGTTTCTGTATGGGTCAAAAGACTTAACATCATCATCTTGAGTAGTGGCTAATGCTGCCATACGAGCCAATCCAAGAATAGCTTCCATCTTCACCTTTCCTACTCCTATCGTTTGGGATAATATGGCTTTAATGTCCCCTATTGCCAATCGTTATCCAGCTGTGCATTCTTCAAAAGCTGTAATCCATTTCTGTCCTCCATCATTTATACTTGGCAGCTGTTCAACCAATCCTTTTAAGTCTGCAAACGACCAGGGCACATAGGTGCGCTTGTACCCTTTGTACAGTAGGGGGAGTTGATTTCTTGGTCTGAGGTCATACCTGTGGATCTTCCTCATCATCACTAAATCTCCATCTAAGCTCAGACGCTCTGCCTCTTCCTACTCCGGGTTCTCTTTCAGTGTAATTCTCTTCCTGATTTTTTGCCATTTTTTATTTACTCTGCCATTTCTTTAAACCTTTTTTTCTCGTGTTCCTTTTGTCTCCCTTCTTCCTTTCTTTGTTGCTTTTGTTGTTCTTCAAACTTCTTCTTTTGTTCGTCATACTTTTCTTGAAGCTCTTGACGTTCTCTTGTCATTACCTCGTCATACTGCTTGTGTTGCTCTCGGTGTTCCTTTGCTGCTTCTCTCAGTGCCTCCAGCCTTTGCTTCTCCTCCAGTGTGGACTTCATTAATGAATCCATTTCCTCTCTTATAGCTTGTTGTCTTCGTCTTGCTTCTTCACTTGGTTCAATGACAATTTTTTCGTGTATCTGTTGGAGGACTGGTTCACCACACATAATGTTTCTTGGCATTGCTTGTGGTTCATATGACAGAAAACGTTCAGTTTGTGGATTGGGCATTGAAACTGCTGCATTTCCAGAATTAGGGGTGCTAAATTTTCCTGGCACTGGTCCCATGGGAGATTCAAAAGTTTGGGGCCTTATCTCAACACTATGACGCAGCCATTCATCACTAATCACTGATGCAGGCTCTGACATAGCTGGTGATGTCACTAAATCTTCACAACTGTGTAAATCTATTAATTCTCTCTCTTGGGCTTCTGTTCCCCCTCTCTCTTGTTCTGCTGGCTCAGTTCTGAACCTTAATGATCCTTTCATTTGCAGCTCCGCTTCTTTCCATTCCTCCGTTTCAATCACTGGGAAGTGACGAGCAACTTTTCTACGTCTTGGCATGGTGCGAGGTGCTGGTGCATATGGAGGAGGTCTTTCTTTATTTGTCTTTGACTGTGGGCCTCTATTTTCTCCATTCTCCTTCGCTTGTGTATTATTTGGCTCTTTTTCTTTTAACTGCACCGCTCCCTCTCTAAATGTTTGCAGGATTGCTAATCTTCGCTGCTTCTTAATGAGCTGAGCCTGTGTTCTTCTATGCTTTTTTCCAGTAGTCATTAATTTAATTTGGTCCTCAACTAATTGAGCATGTGTCTTGTGTGTGCCTTATTTTACCATGTCTCATAAGTCTGTATCAAATGACCCTCTAAGAGGCCATTTCCTCAAAGCGTGTTAACTTGTTCCACTTCTTCATGCACTGTTTTAACTCTTTTTTGGATGCAATGCCTTTTGAGAGCATTAAGCTAAAAGGTGTAATTTGTCCTGGTTGCTCGAGTTTAGCTAATTTGTTACCCATTTTGATCTTACTTTACGAATTAATGCCCTAAACCTTCTTATAAATCAATGCTGTCTGTGTTTGAAGCTCACTGTGTGAGGGCGGAGACTCCTGTGTTCCACACGGGAGGGGCTGTTAGCAAGCACATAATTCCCCCTCCTCCCTCTACTTCTCTCCCTCACTGCTGGAGCACACTTCTCTCCTGTTAAAAACAAAATCTATTACCATTTTGTATTTTGTTATAACCTTTTCAGTATTATATCTTATTACAAACTTCAAAATAATTTAAACAGTTAAGCTTTCATCAATCATGCCCCCACACTTCCCTTTTTCTCTTTTAATTCAGTGGAAGAACATGAAAATAATCTCCCTTGACCAACTCATTCTGTAAATTTCTAATGACATGTTGGACTCGTACAAGAGCCATACTCCTACTGTTCTGTGTGCTGTGTACCACTACTGCTTCCAGATCTGGGTTTGGCTGTCATATCGGGTCATATCAGGGGTCAGCTTGCCCTTACAACAAAGTACCCTGGCTTCTAGATGCTTCTGAACTTCAGGGACTCTCCAATGCAAAATCCCCTAACCTACACACAGCAAGGCCTGTCCTTAGTGAGAGGATTAATACACTTTTGTTAGTCAACTTTTCAGTATATGATTAAGGATTTCTTATTGATTATAATAGTAATACATTCGGTACAATTCCACAGTACCATCATTAGTAAACATAGTATCAGTTTCCACTGCTACGCCGATGAGGACTGTGTAAAAGACATTAAAGACTGGAGGTCAAGTAACTTCCTCTTACTAAACTCGGACAAAACAGAAGTTCTTCTTCTTGGTCTAAAAGCTGTTAGGGATAATCTGCCTACGTTTCCTCTTAATCTCAATAGTTTCTCAATTGCACCAGGCACATCTGTAAACAGCCTTGGTGTCACGATCGATCCCAGTCTGGCCTTCGATGAGCACATTACCAATATTACCAGAATAGCTTTCCTCCACCTGCGTAACATCGCTAAATTAAGAAATGCACTGTCGCTACAGGACGCAGAAACGTTAGTTCACGCCTTTATCACGTCCAGGTTAGATTACTGTAACGCTCTGCTTTCTGGTTGTTCCAGCCAAAACATTAACAAGCTTCAGTTAGTCCAGAATGCTGCAGCCAGAGTTCTTAGCAAAACCAGGACATTTGACCACATTAGCCCAATTTTGTGTACCTTACACTGGTTGCCAGTTAAATTTCGCATTGAGAACAAAACTCTTCTGCTGATGTATAAAGCTCTGAATGGCCTTGCTCCTCAGTACCTCAGTGACCTTATTTCCTATTATCAACCGACACGCCCACTTAGATCACAAGGTGCTGCTCATTATTAGTACCCAGAATAAATAAAATTACATCAGGGGGAAGAGCCTTTTCATACAAAGCCCCCCAGTTTTGGAATAGCCCACCAGTCTGTGTTCGGGACTCCGACACAGCCTCCATCTTTAAGTCTAGGCTAAAAACTTAGCTATTTAGTCGAGCCTTTGGTTAATTAGTTTTCCTGTTAGAAAAAGGCGCAGATCTGTCCGATGGTAATCTGGGAATGTTGGTGCTGAACTAACTATCTGTCCCCCTTACCTTTCCCTGAGCTGAGCGGCTGCCCGTCCTAAGAGGGTCTGATGTGAACACCACTCAATCACAACCCAGGGGGATCTGATGCGGCTGCCGCACTGCACAGTGGTGTTAAACTGTATCCACTTATACTGTTTTGTGTCTGTCCTCTTATCCGGTGTCGACCAGAGGAGGATGGGTTCCCCTTTTGAGTCTGGTTCCTCTCAAGGTTTCTTCCTCCTGTTGAGGGAGTTTTTCCTTGCCACTGTCGCCAAGGCTTGCTCACTGGGGGACCCGGATTCTCTGTAAAGCTGCTTTGTGACAACATCTGTTGTAAAAGGCGCTATATAAATAAATTTGACTTGACTTGACTACTGTACACCAAGATGAGTGATTAAACTTAAAGCACAGTCTGAAGGGGGCTAAAACTGTAAGCTAGCATTTAAGACTCTTGTAGAACTGTGATCAAAAAAGGTACTTCATGTAATAAAGCAGACAAAACTGTCTTATTAAATATAAATTTTAATCTATGTCATTTATATACTATCTGTATACATCTGTGCATGGTTTATGTACAATGAACACATATATACATGATTTAAGAAAACAAATTGAGGATGTGTTGGTTGATTTTTATAAAACGGCTCTGTTGCACAATTTAATGTGACGAATGAATGTGAGTCAGACTTAACGGTTTGCCTTTTGTTCTGATTTTTTGACCCTGTAATGGGGAAGGTGAGTATTTTTAGTCTTCTTTTCTGACTCGTTATTTCCCCCGACCAAGTTTCAGTTCAAGCTCTAACTTCAAACTTTTTTATTTATTTTTTTATCATACAATAACATGACTTACAACAACCAACATCCAGGTTTGTGCTTACACGTTAAATAAATCATAATCAACATATAATTCCAAAGTCCTTTTTGCCCTTTTTGCTTGTTTTGTGCCATATGCCTTAAGCTCCTGGAGGAAGTGTGAAGTTTGGCTTATAATCAGACCATCTCTTCTTATGTAAATAATATCTACCCATAATAATTAAGTATTGTACAATAAATACTTTACCATCTAATCTGTCCATAGAAAAATAAATAATAGCATCAGAAACATCCAGTGCGATACAGTGTCCAGTCTTTCTTCTTACAAAGTTTTCCACATCAATCCAAAACACTTCAGAATGAGTACAGTGGTGAAACAGATGGATAATTGTTTCCTTTTCCGAAGCACAAGAGATAGAAATATTCAGTGATAATTCTAAATCTCTCTCAAACACTTTTAACAGGGTAGATGTTGTGTCAAATTTTAAATGTCACGTCTTTATTTTATTATTCATACAATAATTTTCCATGTTTTATTCCAGTTGATGTTCCCAAAAACAAAAGACCAATATAGTTGTTTATAAATTCATTCATTAGATATTACTTTCCTAAAATACCTGTTTGTACATTTATATTTAAGGATATCAGTGTCCCAAATAAAAAGACCATCCCTATGGCATCCATATCACTATTTGCTGAACGTTTAAGAAGCTGTAACATTTGTTGTGGTACCGCTGTTGAGCACGGACCTCCCGCCAATCCTAACACGGGAAGCGTGATCCTACTAGCCAATCAAAGCGCAAGGGTTTTTTTTCCCAGAAAACGGGTGGGAAAAACTGTAGCACATAATCAACTCAGCAACGAAAGCCTTTTTTTCTATTGGTCCATTTACGCAAGCTGTCTTTACAGCTCTGTGTTCTTCAGTGGAAGAAGCGACTTTTCTCAACAAACGGATCGTCAGAGTGACTCTTGTGATCGGCTAAGGCGACGATGGGGGTGTCTACGCTAATCTGCGCTGTTTTACTGTGTGGAGTGTTTGTTTCCACTCTCGGAGGTGAGTCGTCCGTTTTTTCGGCGGACTGTCTGTCTTACTGCACATCATTACTGTAGTTTACAGTAACCTGCGTTTTTAATGTTACTTCAGCTTTACATCACGTCTGCTGTTCAGTTTAGTGTGCTGTCCAGCTTAATATTACTACTGACCTTCTGATAAATGTCCTACCTATTGGTTTATTGATGGTAACAGTTTCTGATTCAGTGTTTTAGGTTATCGGAATATCATAATGATTCTCTTAATGACGGGAACAGTTTCTGATTCAGTGTTTTAGGCTGTCGGAATATCATCATTACTCTCTTAATGACGGGAACAGTTTCTGATTCAGTGTTTTAGGCTATTAGAATATCATCATTACTCTCTCAATGACGGGAACAGTTTCTGATTCAGTGTTTTATCATTAGAATATCATCATTACTCTCTCAATGACGGGAACAGTTTCTGATTCAGTGTTTTATCATTATTAGAATATCATAATTACTCTCTCAATGACGGGAACAGTTTCTGATTCAGTGTTTTATCATTATTAGAATATCATAATTACTCTCTCAATGACGGGAACAGTTTCTGATTCAGTGTTTTATCATTATTAGAATATCATAATTACTCTCTCAATGACGGGAACAGTTTCTGATTCAGTGTTTTATCATTATTAGAATATCATAATTACTCTCTCAATGACGGGAACAGTTTCTGATCCAGTGTTTTATCATTATTAGAATATCATAATTACTCTCTCAATGACGGGAACAGTTTCTGATTCAGTGTTTTAGGCTATTAGAATATCATCATTACTCTCTTAATGACGGGAACAGTTTCTGATTCAGTGTTTTAGGCTATTAGAATATCATCATTACTCTCTTAATGACGGGAACAGTTTCTGATTCAGTGTTTTAGGCTATTAGAATATCATAATTACTCTCTCAATGACGGGAACAGTTTCTGATTCAGTGTTTTAGACTATCAGAATATCATAATTACTCTCTCAATGACGGTAACAGTTTCTGATTCAGTGTTTTAGACTATCAGAATATCATAATTACTCTCTCAATGACGGTAACAGTTTCTGATTCAGTGTTTTAGGCTATCAGAATATCCTACCCATACATTTCAAAGCTGGTATACATTTTTGATTGGGTGATTTAGGCTGTCATAATATCCTATCTACAGCGTTATGCGCAGCACTATGTAGAGCCCCAAAGCGCCCGGGAGGACATTTTGACAAAGTAGCACAATTCGTCAGGCACCACAGGAGGCCATTTGAGAACAGGGAAGTCCTTACAGCCTCGTCAGCTTTGCTTTCGGTTTACATGCTTACAATACAGATTCTGTTGTATTTAGGCTGTTTTGTAACAGTGTAGAGCTGTGCATTCTTTATGTACTGTATGTTTGTGTAGCCAAAAAACAGAAAGTTGAAAGCCGCCCAAGAAAAGTTCTTGTTGGTTTTTTTTTCTGTGCAACAGTACATTACACAACATTAAACCAAGTACTTTTTCGTGTTCAAAACCAGCCTTAAAAATACATTGAGAAAGGAAGTGCTTGTTGTTGAGAAGTTCTCTTTTTTCATATTTCATTTGTAACTACAGAAGTGTTTACCTTTTATTTATGAAGTTTTATAAACACAGCCATTTTTCAAATTAAACCTCAATATGTTTTATTTCAGTTACTTAAACTTTATAGTATTTTTTACATCATTGCAGAAATCCCAGTTTTAAATACATGCTTTCACATTAGCACTAGGACTCCACTGATATATCGGTTGTCTGATAATATTGGCCGATATTAAGATTTTACAGATTTATTGGTTTCAGAAAAAATTGTGTTATATAAGAAAACTACATGCAGGAATGTGATGCACTTTTGAGCAAAAACAGTACTTACTTTTGGGTGCTAAGTAGTGCCAAGAACAAACACAGAGCCCTCACTGGTGGTTCTTAATGGACTCTGCCTGCTACAGAATGTTCTTTTGATTTAAGTGCTATTACAGTGTCTGTTAGAGCTGGGCGTTTCATTACAATTTATTTTCAGTTAAATCATTTATTTTCAATAAAATCATTATTGTGCTGCATTCTAGTTTGCAGTGATGCTCCCATTTTTTGAGCAATACGTGCTGCATGCCATGCGTGAGAATGAGAATGGTTTATATAGTTCTATTTAACACAACCTATTATATTCCTAGAACTTATAAATCTTTGATCTGAAAGACCTGGTTTGGTTAGCTTACCTTGATTGAAACTGAAGTTGGAGTCTTAATTCATGGCTAACTTGAATGGTCCGTTCCACCTTAAGTGGTGCAGCAGTTCCACTCAGATATCTGAGGAGAATTTGAATAAAAAGCTAGCTTTAGTTTTCTAGTTTGAATTGTTGATTAGCTAAGATGTTTGATGAACGAGCTTTAGCTGGAAGAAACGACGTGAATTCACAATGATCTCCTCTTTGGGAACACGTTGGTTTCCCAGAGCAGTACACTTATGATGGGCGATGAGTGAAGGACTGAACACTGACAGTATACCAGTGTTGCATCCAGTTCTGTTCCCCCTCAAATTCACACTCCCTTTCATAAATCAGGTCTTCGGGAGCATTCACTGAACTGAAATAGCAAGCAGCACTGGAACTACAGAAAGTGAGAAAGTTCAAGAAGGACTTCACGGCTGAAAAGTTGACACAGTCAGTAACAAATAAGCTGTGTAATCGCTTTATGTAGTTCTAAGTTGCAGCCCTGGATCCCTTCAACAAGCACAGCTGTCTTTTAGGGGGAAAAGATATTTTTTGGAATTACCAATTAGTAAATGAATGAATGAATGTATAGATATATGTTAAAGTTATGTTAACATGCTTCTCTAATTCTGCGTGGAACGTGTATTGTATTGTCGGGACCAAGGGCTGTCTCCTTCAGCCCCAGGCCTCCAACATAATATTATGAATAAAAAGAAATCTTTTAATACCGGCTAAACACTCACACTGGTAACTGTTCTAAGTCTAATTTCTCAAAAGATGCCAAAAAGGAAAGAGTCTTCAGACGCTGAGTTTGTGGAAGAGGGAAAAAGGCTTCTTCATTATTTCAGCATCAGGCGGCTCAGAGAGACCCAACTGCACAAATACAGTGTTCCAAACAACAGTTTATACCATTTATCTGAGGTAGTTTGATATCCCCCCACCTTACTGCTCAAAGCTCAAACTTTGATATTAGCTCATTCTCTAATAGGTGCATCTCTTCATCCATCAGTCCATGAGCTCACTCCTAAAAACTGGTCTCAACTAGTTTTTACCAGTCGGCTCTACCTTTCAAGGTCAACTTGCCCCTTTCTTCACTGGGTCAGTAGGTACACACAGGCCTCTCTGTGAACCCAGCTGCTTTCCAGTGTCTAGAATCTCCTATGGAGACAGACTAAGGCCCCTTTGTGAGAGAATTAATATTCTCTGTTAGCCAATACTACCTATTTTGTTATTGATTACAATATCTGATCTATTTGATTACTGATTAAGGGAATATTTATTCAAAATCTCTGTTGGTATCGTGATGCAAACATGACAATAAAATGAACATGACAATCTATTTTTTTTTGTGAAAAGTTCAATAAGTGCATGTTGTTTCTGAAGTAAATGAGTAATTGTGTTAAATAATCGTGATCTCAATATTGACCAGAATAATGGTGATTATGATTTTTGCCATAATCGAGCAACCCTATTGTACATTTTGACCCAAAGAGGTTTCTGTTAAACAATCTAAAATATTAATGTATTACATTTAATGACTTTCTGCTGTTCAACTGAGTTGATAAAAATAGTTAAGGACTAAAATCATTAAAGACTCTTTAGATATCAGCCAATAAAATCAGCATTTTTAGGTCCTTAAAATTGGTATCGGTGACAAAACGGGCGTACATATCGGTTCTAATTGGTACGGAGTTTCTGAAAATATGTCAAGAATGGTTAATGGTTTTATGAGTGAAGCCCATGCTGAGTAGCTGTGATCTTTTTCTCTTCTTTTCTTCCTCCAGATCAACACTCTCTGTACTACATTTACACCGCGCTCTCCAAAGATGTCGCTCTACCAGGGATCTATGAGTTCACAGCACTGGGTCTGCTCAATGATCGGGAGATCGACTACTACAACAGTAAGGACCAGGTTAAGGTTCCTAAGCAGGACTGGATGAAGGAGAAGCTGCAAACAGATTACTGGGAAAAAGGCACCCAGTCTCGCAAGAGCAAAGAGCAGTGGTTCAAGGTCAACGTGGACATCCTGATGCAGCGAATGAGACACACAAATAATAGCGGTTAGTGATCTGTCAGGTTTTTTCCATCCACTGTGGTTCCTCATATGTTGTGCCAGCAAATGTATTTGTTTTGTTTGTTCTCATTGTTTTTCCATCAGACCTTCATGTTCTTCAGTGGAGACATGGCTGTGAGATCAATGAAGCAGATGGAAATGTCAGATTTCTGAAAGGCATTGATGAGTACAGCTACGATGGGTCAGAGTTCCTCTCTTTTGATGATGAGAACATGCGGTGGATCGCTCCAGTTCCAGAAGCTGAGCCAACCAAAAGGAAATGGGATGATGTGCCCATCCTGAACCAGTACACCAAGGGTTACCTGGAGAAAGAATGTGTGGACTGGCTCACCAAATTCATGGAGTACGGAAAAGAATCACTGAGAAAACACTGTGAGTTCCCGAACATTTTGCTGAGTCTTTTTTTTTTTATTTGAGCTAATTACTAGGTAATTAATTACCTAATTGAATGTTAACTTTCATGTAGTGTGTTGAACTACCCAGTGATGAATCCCCACAGTGCCACTCGTATTTGTGGTGGAGTCCACAGGAACACAGAAAAGTAGATTCCTGTCTCTTTGATGACAGACACTTATGCTAGCCAATTAATGGCACCCTGTAAAGGGGACCAGTCACTTTGTGAAATAGTCTTGATTAGGGATAAAACACTTATTCGACGTTATCAATAATGTCACAATAATAAACAGTCAGCGGATGTTTCTCATGTCAGTATTTTATTTGTATTTTCAAAACGATACCCAACCCTGACTGAGTTAATGACTTAAACTAAAGAGCGCAGCAATGCAGGTATAGCGCCATGCCTATCGGAGCAGAAAGAAAAAGAAAAAGAACAATTATTGGCTGAAACTTATACTGCTAATGTTAGTCACTCAAATTTTGTAAGCCATATTGGTTTCTATTAATTAGAAGTGTTTAACATCTATCTCAAAAAAGGTCACAGTTTAAAACACAGTTTCTGGTGATACTCAACATTTAGGTTAGCGTTAGGTTTAGGCTTTGTAAGTGTAGTGTAGCCCAAAAAAATATTGCAGCTTTCAGCAACTCGCCCTGTTACAGCATCACATTCATTAGCTAGCCAACTACAGGCAGCTACATCAGCTCAAAATACAACTCATTTTATAAACATGCTTTTCACACATAGTACATCCAGTAAACTACTTATTTATTAGTATATCGCTTAATTTTTATCTATGCTTATTGTTTACTATATTTCAAAATTATGGACCGGCTTAAACAAAGCAGTACATGTTTTTCTGTTGGGGTAATTTGTTTGCTTGTAAACAGAACCTCAGTTTGTTAGAACATTGCCAAATATTTTATTGTTACAGCTCTTCGCATTTCTAGGCCTTGGTTAAAGTGATTAATCAAATCTTAGTCAACTCATTCATGTGAATAACTAAATGTTAAAATATTCATTTTTTTCCAACTCATGTTGATCAAATGTCCGGCCCTCTAAACAAACATAAAAAAAGATTTTTTTTAGGCATATTTTGAAAATTGAACAGTTTTATTCCAAAGCCTGCAGTACAGTATTCCTACATCTCCCAGAATTCCTTTACACCGTTTGAGGCCAAGGATAGGTTTGCTCTGTATAGACCACTGTAGCTGTTCGTCATTCTGTAGTATTAAGAAATATAAGCCCCATTTCTCTTCCAGAATGAATAGGGCTTTTGAAAAATCGCCTCTGTCGCCCCCTGTGTTAAATAAAAATGTTCAGAACCCGATACGTTTTGTCCTGTGAACATTCTTCTCCTGAATATCACTGGATCCTCCGAATTACGAGGTCGTAAAAGAGCTATAATACTAATATTGCTACATGGGAGCTAAAGCTACTGCGCATCAATTTGATGTCACTAAGATACACGAAACTAAGGCGGGCTGTGGCGGAGCTCTGACGAGCTGTACTATCTTATTGAAATGTTCTACTGTAGTGCATAATTACAGTTATACATAATAAATAGTAAATAAAGAACATGGTGCCAACTACAAAATTACGACATGCCTACAGTGGTCTATAGACATGGACACACCCCTAATCACCTGCACAGGTCTACTGGAGAAACAGTCACATGCCTCTGCAAGACTGTGGTAAAAGGGTAAAAATTGGTTGACTATCAATAACCTGGACTTTAACAAAAAGACTGTTAAATGTACTGAGAAACATTTCCAGATGTTCAACACTGCAGTTTATCAAGGCTCTTGCATTTCACAGCCCCTATCACTTTTAAAAACAGCTAAACCTGACTGTTCCCTTTTAAACCACTTGGATAGAATTCAGCAGTTGGTGCACTTTTCCAAATGCGTGCAGGTGTTTTAAGCAGTTCTCTGAGTGGTAGTTGGAAAGGATATTTTGATTGGCTACAAGAGGAAGCAGGTGTCGGCACTCATACTTTCACATTGTTAGCTGCAGCAAGTGAGAACTGATTCCAGATTATTTTTTGATTAAAAAAACTGTTGAACTTAAAAAATGTGCATTGCTTTTGTTTTCTCTGTAGCTCCACCGACTGTTCATGTGTTTGCGAAGAAATCTGTAACTGACTCGACCAAGCTGACCCTGACCTGCCTGGCCACGGGCTTCTACCCCAAAGACGTGGTGGTGAGTGTGAGGAAGTTCCGCACTTCACTTCCTGAACACCTACTAACATCTTCAGGAGTCAGACCCAATGATGATGGAACCTACCAGCTGAGGAAGAGTGTGGAGATCCAGGAGGATGAAAAAGCATCTTACGACTGTTATGTGACTCACAGCTCCCTCGACACACCAGTAATTGCAGAATGGGGTAATTATATCTCTGTTTTACATGGTTGTTATCACCTGTTCCAGTTCAGGGGTGGTATTACAGAAACTTCCTGACTCCTGAAATCTTATCTGTTTAGTTACTTTGACAAGTTAGGACTGATTTTAGGCCAGTAGCTTCCACAGAATAACAGTTCATAAGGAAACCATATTATAGAACCGTCTTAACTAGAATTTCCTAAAAATTTCCTAAATGTTGTCCTAACTTCAGCACAACTTCTGAGATTGATGTTTTTATAATGTTATAGCGCTTTCAAAACATCCCAGACACTGCAGGTACTTCTCCTTTGTTCCTTCTCGTTACCTGTATGTTTTAATCTGGATGAAAACAAATAAACATAGTACAGCAACGATGGAGAAAAATGAGGAGAATGCGTGGCTGTTTATTAGGAGAAATGGCAGCTGAAGCCTTGGTAAATGGAAATGGCGCTGTCACAATATTCATAACTTTTTTAGACTTTTAGTTTATCTCACTTTTTTTTTTTAGTAACAGTGATAGCTGGCAGACATAAGACATCACAATTGTTTATCGACCTCAATTGGGTAGTTTAGGTTTCCCAAACTTGAGATAAAGTACTTTAAGATAAGATACAGTCCGAAATCCAAGATTTGTTTCTGTAATGTGTATTTGTGAAAAACCTTGATCTTGTTAGATCTTAACTTAGGACCACAGACAGGAAGTTTCTGTAACATGGCCTCTTTTCATACTTTATATAAACGCTAACCTTGCTTAACAGCAGCAGAATGGTAGATTCATTGCTTAAGTTGTTTTTTTTTGTTTTTTTTGGAAGATGGAAGCTGCAAGGACTGTACGACAGGGATCATTGTGGGTTTCGTTGTAGGATTTCTGGTTGCAGGAATTTTGGCAGGCGTGGTCGTTTTCCTTATAAAGAGATGTAAGTGGAGTTTCATAATTACAAATGCTCTTACTGTATTTTATGTGAGCTGTTTGAAGGTAAAAAAGGTATGTCTTACAATAGACAACATGTAAAGTATGCACAATAATGTTTATGTAGTTAGTATTGCAGCTGGTAAGTTTTTGAGAATTGGGGGCATCTTACACTATATTTCCAAAAGTATTCACTAACCCACTACTCACCACTAACCCACTTTTCTCACTACTAAATACTCCACAGTCAACTGTCAGTGGTATTATAACAAAGTGGAAGCGATTGGGAATGACAGCAACTCAGCCACGAAGTGGTCGGCCACGTAAAATGACAAAGCGGGGTCAGCGGATGCTGAGGCGCATAGTGCACAGAGGTCACCAACTTTCTGCAGAGTCAATCGCTACAGACCTCCAAACTTCATGTGGCCTTCAGATCAGCTCAAGAACAGCATAGAGAGCTTCATGGAATGGGTTTCCATGACTGAGCAGCTGCATCCAAGCCTTACATCACCAAGCGCAATGCAAAGCGTCGAATGCAGTGGTGTAAAGCGCCACCACTGGACTCTAGAGCAGTGGAGACGTGTTCTCTGGAGTGACCAATCACGCTTCTCCGTCTGGCAATCTGATGGACGAGTCTGGGTTTGGCGGTTGCCAGGAGACGGTACTTGTCTGACTGCATTTTGCCAAGTGTAAAGTTTGGTGGAGGGGGGATTATGGTGGGGGGTTGTTTTTCAGGAGTTGGGCTCGGCCCCTTAGTTCCAGTGAAAGGAACTCTTAATGCTTCAGCACCAAGAGATTTTGGACAATTTCATGCTCCCAACTTTGTGGGAACAGTTCGGGGACGGCCCCTTCCTGTTCCAACATGACTGCGCACCAGTGCACAAAGCAAGGTCCATAAAGACATGGATGAGCGAGTTTGGTGTGGAAGAACTTGACTGGCCTGCACAGAGTCCTGACCTCAACCCGACAGAACACCTTTGGGATGGATTAGAGCGGAGACTACGAGCCAGGCCTTCTCGTCCAACATCAGTGTCTGACCTCACAGATGCGCTTCTGGAAGAATGGTCAAAAATTCCCATAAACACTCCTAAACCTTGTGGAAAGCCTTCCCAGAAGAGTTGTGGGCCGACATCATATTAAACCCTATGGATTAAGAATGGGATGGTCACTCAAGTTCATATGTGTGTGAAGGCAGACGAGCACATACTTTTGGCAATATAGTGTATATGATGAATAAAAAGACAGTTATCACATTAACTGTGTTTTATTTAAAAATGTAAAGTGCCCTGTTCAACATCCAGTTAAACACAACATAAAAGCAATGTATTTATTTACACAGCTAACAAACGGTGAAGTTGTCTAAAACCAAATATAACATAGCTTTTGTTTTCAGTTACGGTTCACAGTGTAGGTGAACATAAATATAACATAAAAGCCTTTGCTTTCATTTACACATTTCACAACCAGCAAAATGTTGTCCTAACAGGGTAGTTGAACGTTGCATTATAGCCATAGTTTTCATGTATACAGTTCACAACCAGAGGCAGAACATTTCAGCCTCCTATCTTTCATTTTATAACCCCCCTTGCAGACGTGCTGATTCTATAAGCCATATCTGAAAACCAGAGCTGGTCCTGGGGCTGTATTACAAAAACATCATAGTTTTTTGTCTTAAACCATCTGACAGGTCACGATGAGATTTTTCACAAACTCACATTACGGAAGCAAATCTTAATTTAGGAATCTTATCTCACAGCAGGTTATGGAAAGACAGCTAACAGCTATTAGTCAGACAGCTGACGTCACTAATGTAAAAAAAAGGTCAAACAGAACTAAAGTGTGATAAACTGTAAGTGGTGAATATGGTGAGAGCGCCCCCTGCTGTTTATCAGAGCGTCGCCGCTCCCCAGTTTCAGTCTCCATTTCCCAAACGCTTTAGCCGAGCGCGCTAACGTTACTCCTCCTAATAAACAGACCGACGTTCAGCTCCGTCTCCTCATTATTCACCACCATCACTGTAATATTTCATCATCAACATTAACACACGAAGGTGATCAGAGGGGCGGTGGAGATCGAGTCTGCAGCGTCTGAGATCTTTAAAACGCGTTAGAAAAGAAAATCCTCTCACAGTGAAAGCAGCGTTTTACAGTAGGAATAAATGGAGCTCATTATGCTGGTAGTGAACTATGCTGCTGACTCAGCTGCCTAAAAACCATAGAAACGGACCGTAAACAGAAGTGAGGACCCTGTTGGGGTTCATCCTAAAGTTAGGACAGGATTTAGGAGAGTTTGCTCCATCATTTGGTGTAAAATAGGCAGACAGAATGAGAGGCTGCAAAGGGTGAGTTTTATTATGTGGATGTGCATATGAACACGTTTATGTGTGCGAGATGGTTGTTTTTTCTGCACTGCAGTTTGTAGCGTTGTTGTCTGTTGCCGTTCATCAAACATACTCCATTAATGTAGGAACCTGGATGTGCATGTACATTCACCCGTCTGAACAGCTACAAAGTATCAGGGCGACGCCCCACATTATTGCTGTAGGGAAAGAACGTCTAGACACTCTACACGTTTCCTTGATTACGATATAGCACTGCCACTCAGCGTAAGGCCACAGTTACAGTTACAAAGGACAGAAATCCACCAAGTGCAGCATTTATGATAAAGTAGTGTTTTTTTTTTTTTTTGTCAGAGTTACGTCGAGAGCTGAATGCAACATGAAATTTGGCAGCCGCCTCATGATTCTCTACGCAGGACAAACCCTGGACGTGTAGGCTTAAAAACGACACTCCTCAGCTCTCTACATAAAGACTGATATCTGTTAAAGTGAAAATAGAAGTGAGCACACTCTCCAGAAGGTAGATGCATGTTTACGGAGAAAATGGGATTTTCTGACAACTAGCGAAAAGCAGATGTACTGCAGAATTTATGGGAAATGAGACGGTTTCTGACGTATGGCTTCCTAAAGTTCTGAGGACTGTGTGCTATGCGCCTGCTTGTTTTTATCGCTAAGAAGAAGCAGCCAAAAGTTAACGTGCCGTTGGACGTGACATCACTGGGGCTGAGAGTGCATGTCTGCAGCCAGACTTTATTGGAAAATGCAGTAAATATTCCGTTCCCTTCTGATTGAATAGGCCTGCGAGTCCCATGGCTGTACGCCCCTGAGTAGCTACCACACTGTCAGAATGATGTTGATTCCACATTATATCTCTTTAATGGACACACGAAGAAAAACTCTTCTGCAACTACTGAGGTCCAGACCTCGGTGCCCTCATAGGTAGTTACAACCATGATGGCAATTCAGTACAAGTGTCAATGTACTTGTGCACTTCAATGCATACAAATATTTTGTTCCTTTTAAAGACATTACATTATGATATTGTTTTATACTACAGACTCCGCCCACAAAAACAAAACAAAACACAGCAAGTGCCTCAGCACTGCAGTACTATAGTATTTAAATATGCCATTTTACAAAAAATGTTCACACTACACAATCACATCATCGTACTGCCTTAATAAAACTATTTCATGTTTTGTTTTTTCCAGCAATTTTAACCCTACAAAGTTTAGTGAATGAGGCTCAAAGTCAGTACGTTCTTAATCTTCTCTGTTTTTCCAGGTAATGGGGCAGTGACGACTAACGGAACAGCAAATCACCCCACTGAAGAAGTGCCTCTGCAATAAAATGGTAAATTATAATTACATCCACAGTAATTTTATTAATATAGAAATGAGCTGTAAGTTAGATTGTGCAGGTATCATGGTTTACATGCTGATCATTACATGCTGTTCATTGTTTTAAAGTTCATGAAGAACCTAAGAAATGTTTAGTCCTGGTTTACTGGAAACAGATTAATTCTAATCTTTCAGCCAGTTTGTGCCAGATGTGTTTAGCATTTCAAAATTTTGGTGTCTGACTGAAACGATCGTCCAACATTATAAAACATAATGCAGTACTTAAGGCTTTCTTTTGAAAATGTAAGTGTAGTTTAGTGTCCTTATTCTTCTTCTCTGTCTTTTCCAGGTAATGGACACGTACACGTGATTGTCATGAATGGAGCTCCTGCTACTGCTTAATCTGCTGTTTCAACACCTCAGACCAGCAAGTTCAACGAGTCAATCAAAAGATTTCAGCATTTTACTGTACATTTCAGATATCAAGGCCTTTAGCACTTGAGACGCAATACTCAGCATACATTTCAGAACTTTTCTGCTGACCACAGTGTAAATGATGTTTGAGTATATTAAACAGAACCACCAGTAAATGTGTTAAGAGCGACTGTAGACAAACAAGATAATCCTTTAATAGTCCCACAAGGGGAAATCCTCAACATACCGTAACATATGTGTGTCACAGTAGCAGGTCAGGAAAGTTGAAATGGTAGAGACCTGTGATGCAATCATTTCAATTCAGCTTCTTAGTCAGTCAAAATACCATAGAGAACCATGTTTTCATGGAGATCAGCTGTATATTTCATACGTTTTGGCACTTCTGGATAAGGTGTATCCAGCCAAGGCATTTCAGTGCTTTTAATGATTGTTTTTGTGTTTGGGTTTCTCTTTTAGCTTTAAATCAGTAGATACTCAATAAGCCTGACTCATAAACTGCAGTACTGAACTGTGAAGTCCTAAACAGCTTCACAGTTTTACATCATGGTGCCTAACTGCATCATGCATACTTACATCTTTAATTTTATCCTGTCCTGCATTTCCAGCTGTAATGTTATAAAGAACACTGCACCCAAGATGGAATGATTAAGTCTTATGTATATATTATGTTTCTTTAAGCTTTTATAGTAAGGTCAGAAGCTGCACTCAGGAAAGTTAACATTGAGCTTAACTAACATTGATTCTTCTTCGAGAGTAAAACTTTTCCAAATAAAATAATGTTCATATCGTTTGAAAGAATATAAATTTTAATTGCTGATTCATCTTCATTGCTTTTTATGCCTGAGTGTAAATCTTTGGTTTTCAAAACCTCATCGTTCAGTGATTCCATACAGACATTCCTTTAATATGTGATATCTGTACATTTCATCAACTATCATTTACTTACATTTATGAACATTTGGTATACTAGACCACTTTTAAAGTGCCTTCCTACAGATTCACTGTAAAAACCTGTAAAATTCTGTTTCCTCACTGGACCATCTGTTCTGCAGTGACAGTGCAGGTGATGACGCCTGGTTTTTTGACTGGATTTGAAATGTGTAGCGTTCATCGTATGAACTATTTCTTTAATGTGTGTTTTCATAAGTGAGTGTTTATCGATGCACTGTAGTCACATGTGAGGCAGAGGGTTTGCAAAAACTGGCTGGATTTAGAGTTTTTATATGGGAGGTTAAATATTGCAGTGCAGGAGTTTTTCTGTATTGCACTTTTGAAAGTACTTTATGGCTTGTGGCACTTATTTTTATATTTCCAAATAAAGCTTTTATTTCAACTGTCTCTGATTAAATAAGATCTAGGATGATAAACGGGGTTCTACAGAGACTGGGTTCCTCATGTTTACACCATTCTAAGTGTAGTTCTTAGGGATCAGATGAGTTTGTGTATTTGTGCACTCTGATCAGTATATCAGCAGCATTGTGTACATTTGGTGGGCAGCACCTGCACCATTGTCTCTCAGTACAAAACAAGAAAAAGCTGCTGATACTTTAGGATGTGCATATTGATGCATCACATGAATATGCATGTTAATCAGGTGTATCTTCATAATTTAACTGTTTGAAGTCCTAAAATCCACTACATCAACGTCAGTCTGAACAGCTACAGCTGATACACCACTGAGTGAATGATCCTCAATCCTAGTTCTGGGGTGTCCAGGAAATCCAGGCTTTTCCTGCTCTAACTTCCTTAATTTGAATTCCAGATTAGATCATTAACACAGCTACACAGAACCAGAACTCTACTAGAGGTTCATTCAGAAGATCAGAATAAACATCCTTGATCCTGGTACTTGCCACTCATCTGCCACATGCACTGAAACAAGGGATGAACTTTGCTGTTGGCTTTGTAATAAACACCCATCTGCTCTATTCAGTGTAGCTCTTCAGTGGCTCCATCTCTGGAACCTCAGAGCCAAACGCAGATACTTTTCAGTGCTGAAGACGTAATGTTTTGGAAAATCAGCCATGAGCACACTGAGCTATAAACCATTAACACGTTCCTGTGCTTACATTTCTAAAGTTCATCAGCAATGACTGCGTTTATCCTCAGTCATTAGAAACCAAAACAAAAATACAGACACAGAGCAGCAGCACCTTTGCTGGACCAACACCTTGTGCCACCCACAGATACTCAGATACTACCTGATGTTGTGTTTCAGTGATGGTGGTGGAAGTGTTGTGTGACACATTGGTAAAAAACCTCCCATAGCTGTTTAATTTGGTTGAGATCTGGTGACTATGAAGGCCTTAAAATATGATTTACATCATTTTTATACTCATCAAACCACTCAGTTACCCCTCATGCCCTTTGGATGGGGGCTAAAAGATTTACTTTCCCAATGTGGATGTTGGTCTTCTACATAGAAAACTCTTCATATGATCATCACAGCTTATGGACCTTTAGTTGACGCTGATTTTCTTTACAAATATGATTAAACTCCTGAGAAATTGTACATCAAAGTGCAGAAACTAGAATCTACAACTTTCAAAATACTGATCAATTAGCACACAACCTTCCTGAGTGCAAAAGAACCTTTTGCATGATTAAAAGGTTCTTCACATGGTGAAATAGTTCTTAAGATTGATGGAGAATGTGTTGTAGATGGTTCTATATAGCACTTTTTTTTTTTTAATGGTCCTATATAGCACCAAAAAGGTTTTAACATCAAATCCCTTTTTGGTATTATGTAGAACCATATACAACACATTCTCCATCAATCTGAAGAACCATTTCACTATGCAGAGAACCCTTTATTCATGCAAAGGGTTCTTTGAGTGTTTATGGTTCTATATAGAACCATTTTTCACTAAGGAACAGCACTGAAACGTCGGTACACTCTTATTTCAGAATGTGAAGGCTTGTTTTTATTCTTAGTATTGCTGCACATAGAACCAAAAACGCTTTACTGCCACCTAGTGGCTAATATCAGTACATCTCCTTTTTTTATTCAGAAAAGCAAATAAAATGAGCTATGTAGCAAGAACTTCTAGTCCAGTTAAAAACTTAACAGATATGTGATGTGGAGATGCTCTGTAATTCAAATGGGGTTCTACAGAGACTGGGTTCCTCATGTTTACACCATTCTAAATGTAGTTCTTATGGATCAGATGAGTTTGTGTATTTGTGCACTCTGATCAGTATGTCAGCAGCATTGTGTACATTTGGTGGGCAGCACCTGCACCACTGTCTCTCAGTACAAAACAAGAAAAAGCTGCTGATACTTTAGGATGTGCATATTGATGCATCACATGAATATGCATGTTAATCAGGTGTATCTTCATAATTTATGTTCATAATCGAACATATATGTATATATGTTCTTTAAATACAGTATGTTTGCTGTACAACAGACATGATGATGCAGTTGCACTTTTTTAGTTTAGCTGTGGTTGAGAATTTAATCTAAGTTTAAATCTGAAGTTATGAGGGCTCTTAAACTGCACTGCTGTCTGTGTAAGCTGCAGTTTAAAGTGCACCTGCATTTTAAACCAATTGCTGTCATTTAAAAATCATACTTCTGCCACCAGTTAGACTGTTTGCCACCTACTGGTTGTTTGGGTTCCGTTAAGGTGGCAGGACGGACAGCTGTGTGTATTCCTGCGAGTTTGGTCAAACTAGTCTAAACGGTCGGCAACCAGTATTTGGTGTCTTCACTGCATTTGGTGTTGCTTGAGCCACTGAACAGCAGGCTGCCACTAGGTATTTCACTGTCCAGTACAGTACTGTCTCTCCTTTAATAGAGGACAGGTTTATGTGCCAGTTGTTAATGTTGAGACCAGAGATGTGTGGCTTCCTCCTCGCACTGTGAAGCCTATTTTGTGTGTTGCAGAAGGTTGATTACTGGATCAGGTACGGAAGGGTAAGGGTTTGCTTCAGCAGTATAGTGGAGTTTTTAGTCAGAGTAAGGGTGACTTGGGGTGTACAGACCTAATACACCATAAGATCCCTTGATGATAGCCCCGTTCGTCAGTATTACTGCTGCTGTCCACCCTCACAGTATGAAGAGGTCAAAGCACACATTCAAGAGCTACTAGAAAAACAAGTTGTGTGGGTGCGCTGTAGTCCCTATTCCTCATAAATCATTATGGTGCAGAGGAAAGATGGCACCATATGATTGTGTGTAGATTAGACAGTTAAAAGCAAAGACAAGGAAGTGGGTATAGACAAGTTCCTATGGCAGAGGAGGACAAGCAAAAGACAGCTTTTCTTTATTTGAGTTCAGTCAGATGCCATTTGGCCAATATAATTCACCCAGCGCTTTCCAGCGACTCATGGAACATATTTTTGGAGATGAACACTTCCAGTCTGTTACTGTATCTGGATTATATTGTGATCTTTTCTCCCTCCTTTCAGTCTCACTTACAGAATCTTGAGATCTTGAGAAGATTGCAGCAACATAATTTGAAATTAAAATGAGAGAAATACAATTTCTTTCAGCCTGAAGTTCGCTATCTGGGATGTGCGATCTCTGCTTTGGGGTGGCCCAAAGCTGAGATCACTGACAAAATTACTGCTATTTCAGAATGGATGCGCCCTACTACGACCAAAGAGCTTCGATCCTTTCTTGGTTTTTCATCTTACTATTGCCGATTTTTTTGGTGGCTACTGTTCAAGAGGGCAAATCAAGACCAGGGGTGAGTTCACTGGATGGCCATTGGAATGGAGACTGCGAAAGGGCATTTAAAACCCTGATGACAATTTGGTTACTGCACCAGTGCTTTACTTTACTAAGTCATATGGGGCTTAGTGCAGTACTTTCTCAAGAACAGGAAGGGAAAACGCAACCAGTTTCATATGCAAGTAGAGGGCTTCATCCAACGGAAAGGAACATGTTGAATTACAGCTCCATGAAGTTAGAACTTCTAGGATTGAAATGGGCAGTCACTAAAAAATGTTCAGAGAGTCCTTATTGGGGGCCAAGTTTATTGTTTTTACTGACAAAAAGAGTTATTTAGAGACTGCAAAGTTGGGAGCAGTTGAACAGCGATGGCCTCCCAACTGGCCCATTTTAATTTTTAAATTGAAATACTGCCCTGGAAATAAGAAACAGTGATGCTTTGTCATGACAGCCTGCCTAGCCAGTGCCCACCAAGATTGTCGAAGTCGCCCCTGGGTTTCCTGTTCCACCTCCTTGTTTGAGTTTGTCTAGTGGTCCAGAGAACAAGGAGTTGTGGCAATTGCTGCAGCCAGAGACATTACAGTCAGAAGTGCTAACTGCTCTTCATGACAATCGTGGTCATCGGGTTGTGAACGAACAACATATTTTTGGTGCGGCAGAGATGTTATTGGCCCCAGATGAAAAGAGATACTGAACAGTGGTGTCAGAAGTGCTTTCGCTGTGTGACCGCCAAAGCTGTGCTCCCCAAGGTGTGGACCTTTGCTGGTAGTGTGTTGGCTTCAAGGCCCTTGGAAATTCTAGCCATTGACTTCACTGTACTTGAATGAGCAAGTGATGGTTGAGAGAATGTTCTTGTGTTTACAGCTGTCTTCTCTAAGTTCACACTGACATACCCTACCTCGGATCAAAAGGCAAGCACTGTGGTACGTATTTTGACCGAGAAGTGGTTTTATGTTCATGGGATCCCCAAGGGCTCCATTCAGATCCAGGCCGCTGTTTTGTAGGGGAGATGTTGACGGCACTGTGTAAGGTGTATGGGATTGAGAAGGGTCAGACCACTCATATCACCCAGAAGG